GCTGGGATTTATTTGCAGCAAGTAGAAAATAGACAGCCGGCATAAAATTTCAGCAGGTTCTAGCTAGTAAAATTATTTATCAAGCTAACAAGGGAGGAACCCCTTCTAGTAACAACAACCCAGACATGCCTTTATATTTTACCTTTGGGTTAGTGCACCAGTAAAAATGCCAACTGACAAGCTCTTCTCATAAACATTTCTTTCTAAATGAACTGCCTTGTTGGGAAGGAGGGGGGATCTGGAGAGAGAACGGGAGTCAAAAGAAAGAATAATTCCCAGAGAGGAGACTGAGCTAAAAATAAAAACATAAAAATAACATGGTTGCATAAATGAGTTTAATAAATGAATACTTAATTTTGCATATGAAAATAAACTACCACCACTGTGGTTGATTGCAGGAAAAAGATGGTCTTTTATTCAGGATTTTGAAACACTGAAGAATATATATATATATATATATATATATATATATATGCATAGAATTGTATGGAATACACATAGCCCTGCTTGTTAGCTCTGTTTGGTTAGATCCGCTGCAAATTTCATGCTATTCTCGGGTGCGCTTTTATTTAACAATGCAAACTCTGAAATCACTTTTATGGTTTTGCTTAACGAGGTCAACCATTGATTGTAAAAGGCTCTTCAGGAGTGTCCCCAAAGGAGCAAAGAAGAAGGAGGGGGTGTCAGAGACAAGAAGAGGCGTAATCAACCTGATCCCAATTACATTTTAAAGGAAACAGTAAAAGCCGTGTGTTCCCCTCAAATAGCTGAGCTCAAAAGGTGACGGCAAATTAATCCCCTCAGCTCAACAAGAATCTGGGCACCCTCCAATGGTTCCTTGACTGGAGTAAGCATTTGACAGGGAAGCTTTACAAACACAAATCTATTGAAAGGGAAGGGCAGTAAGCTCAGTGGTAGAGCATCTGTTTTGCATGCAAAAGGTTACAATCCCTACCTACCATGTCAAGGAAGGGGTAGGAGGACCCCTTAGGAAACCACTGCCAGAGCTAGGAGGGCTCAGTATAAGACAGCTTCCTATGTTCCTAAGGTCTTTTCTCCCAGACCCCTCCTGATACAAAACAGGACACAGTTGGGCCCAGATTCAGCATTTTGGGCTAGGAGTTGAACTAGGAGTCAAAAGACCAGGGTTCAAATCCCCTCTCAGCCACTGGGGTGACCTTGAGGCATCCACTGTCTCTTAGCTTAACCTACCGGACTTCACAGGGTTGTTCTCAGGATCCCAGCGGAGGGATTAGACGTCTGTCTGAGTTACCTCAAGGGCCATTTTAGGGGAGACTACCCATAATCTGCAATAAATAATGGGGAATGCATCTGTAATTTGCATTTGTATTTTTTAAAATAAACAAATAGTTTGGGTGTGTGTTGTTGTTTTTTAAAAAAGGTATCACTCAATTTAATCAACGAGGGGAGGGATACCTTTCTGAAAATCATTCAAGACTCCCATTGGATATGCAATAAAAGATGGCATTCATATATTGTATGCTGCTCCACTTGTTTTTGCCCTGAGCTACCACTGGTACCAGAACAGAATTTGGCCCTTGGGTGAAACAAGCCCTGCTGCAGATGTAACAAACTGCCGCCAGAGGTGGCCTCTGCTGAGTCTTCACGAGGAAGCAGCAAATGTGAAATAGTCACAGGCTGAAAAGGTTGCAAATAAAATTTCAAGGGACTACAAATTGCTGATGAGAGGTTTGGTGATTTAGGTCACATCCATGCTATCAATTTAAAGCACACGGCTTCCCCCAAAGAATCATGGGAAGAATAGTTTGTTGAGGGTTCTGGGAATTATAGCTCTGTGGGGGTAAACTACAGTTCCCATGGTTCTGGGGGGGGGAGCCATGTGCTTAAAGTGTGTTTTAAATGTATGTGATCAGACTATGGCACACCATTTATAACAAATGAAAAAACAACTGTTCAATTAACAATACAGGGAACCAGATTTTTTTTTTTAATTTAAATGAATTTCATGGTATTCTTTCCTAACTCTCAGACTATATAATCTACAAAAAATGCAGATTACCAGATGGGTAGATGTAGTCTCCCATCCTGCAAAGAAACTGGGCTGCATCTCAACCCTACCTCAAATATTTATTGTGTTTAGGCCAAGATAATCACCAACTCAAAATGGGATGGCCATCTTGCTCTTCTTGAAAATCTAACCTTTTGAAAATAAACCTATCTGGTATGTGCAAGGCTCCTCCAAGCTTGTTAAGCACTGATAGGTTACATTAATATGTATATTGTCTGTAGGGGACAAATGCTTTCGAGGAGCACACGCAGCATTAAAAACATCAGCAAGTATCACGAGAAAGCAAAAAGCATCATTGACGCAAACTGCGAAATAAATAATAGATCTTGACTTTTATGTTCCCAGCCTTTGATCTGGTGGAACTGACATTATAGTCCAGGAATAAGAGGGGCACCTTTTTAGCTGGGTGAGTGTTTTTTTTGGGGGGGGGGAGATGTCAGGTTATATTTTTAGCACAAGGCCAAAATACAAGAAAAGAAAGAGAAAACAGTCAAAAGGTATGACTGAATGAGCACAGCAGTGGGGAACAGAGAAAAGCCCAACTATTGTGTGAAAGGAAGGGAGATGATATTTAACTGAACTCTGTGGTTACTGAAAGCATTATTAACCATCCTGTTCTCTCCAGCATAATTTACAATGAAACAATAGGCAAGTTATCCAGAGAACTTGGAAGATCTAAATTTGTCCACAGCAAAGAAGGAGGAGAGGACATTACTCAAACATGAGAGGGAAATGTCCAGAGCCCTCAAGGGCAAACCAAGGCCTGAAAATGTCCAAGGACCGGCTCTACCATTTGGTTGAGTGAGAGCGCCACCTCAGGCAGCAGATACTGGGGGAGAGGGGCAGGAAATTGCAGTGAGGCACTGGAGGACAGAGCTTTGTGTGTGCCGTATGGCCTGCCCTAAGGTAGCCTGCCGCTATCAGGCAAAGTAGACGATGCCGTCAGGTCAGCGGTACAGTTCGATCGCATCTTACCAGGTGAATCCTGGGAGAATCCACCTGCTTATGTGCGAGATAAGATTTAAGATTTACCTGAGAGAGAGGACTTTGCATTATGCTTTCTTCTTTCTTTCTTTTGCTTTTATTTTGGTTTAGATTAGTGTGTTTTTTAATTGTAATGTATTATGAAAACTCATTATAAAATATTATTTAAAAAGAAAGAAATGAAAGCTGACCTGTTTAAATTGGGGAAAATTAATTGTATGTGAGGTGGAGAGCTTAGAAGCTCTCTGCTTCATTTACCAGACTCTGGGAGGCCCTCGTGGGAACTTGGACGGCCCTGTGAGATCTCGCAAAAGCCTCCCAGATCCTGTTTGAGAGTGTCCCAGAGCCCCCAAAAGCAAGGCAGAGAGCCTTGCTTGGAAGCAAAGGATGATCATGAGGGGGATGTTTTGGACACATGTATTTATTTGGCATACTTGCCATCCCCAGAACGTAACTCCAGCACAAGATACAGCCATACTGTATCGAAATAAGATTCAGTTGCCTGTATATACACGTAATGGGACATTTAGGCTGCTGCATCCATTTCACAGGCAAAGATCTCTGCATGCTCACCCAGGTCCCGAGCTGGGGGCACTTTGGTTGGTGTTAGCTATTTTGATTTAAGTATGGCAAGGGGATTCTGAATACCCTCTTGTCACCTCATCCCTGCTTTGTGCCAAGCTACTGCCAAATTCAGAGGTAGCTAGCAGTCCACTAGGTTGCACTATTTAAGGCTCGCCTTGCATTCTTATCAATCTTCCTGGAAAAGCCACATCACTGTGCACAAGCAAGACAGGACAATTGTCAGCTCGCTCTGGGAAGCAGACCAGCACCTGCCACCCCACCCACCTAACATACACACACGGTGGCAACATTAGGTCACAAGAGCAAGATAAAACAAACAGAAGAATGACAAATTTAATTTATGTAATAGCTTTCACTATGTGACGTCAAAGTGCTTTACCTTCATTCCCTTAGTGTACCTGAGATGTGTTACCAAATCAGTTTCCGGCTGCCAGCTCACTAAAAAGAAAATCCAATCACATTTCATTTGCGGAAGAAATTCATTTTTACCTGTGCCAGTTTCAGTAATTCATTGCCTAAGTCCCGAGACAGATAGTAAAAGGGAGAGAAAGGGGTCATGTTGACTTAAAACCTTCCATGTAGAAACCCAGCTTATTGGTCAATAAATGTGGATTGCCAGTCGTCCTAATTTGGCCAGGGCAGTGTGGAAAACCACTAGTTATGTTCTGAATCAAAGGTTTTTTGTTTTCAGAGTAAGCCAAAGGGAGACATAGAAAAGAAAATTATGTAGGATCCAGATATAATAATAAAATTAATGTCCAAAGCCACTCACAAAGATTCAATTATTGGGCACCGTGACTAGACCCCAGCACAGGACCTACAGCTGAGGGCTGCCTTGGGCTCCTTTCACAAAGCGGCTGGTTCCCGTGGCCATTCTCATTTCCCACAATGGTGGCAATGCTCTAGGGTAGGCCCAGAGGCCAAATGTGGTCCTCTGAGCATCTCTATCTGGCCCTTGAGACTCTGCCCAGGTGACACACACTCAAGCCACGTCCCTAAGTGGCTCTCCTCTGTGCCCTCTTCCATTTATTTTACCTGCCAGGAGTGTACCCTTGAGTACCTTCTGCTTTGCCTGGAAGGCAGTTGGAGAGTGGTTTGTGGCTGGACATACTCAGCAATCGTATGTGGCCTCTGGAAGGTTGTCCATAAGGGAATGTAGCCCTCAAGGTGAAAATGGTTCCCCACTCCTGCTCTAGGGCAATGTGAGCAATTTTAATGGTGGTTCAGTGGGGCAGTCTGCTGGCATTCTGCCAAGGACCCTCTCAAACCTGAGCCATGAAATATAGGCACAGTATCACGTACCATAGTAGAATCATAGAAATACAGAATTGAAAGGGATCACAAGGGTCATCTAGTCCAACCCCCTACAATAGCAGGAATATTTTGACCAGTGTGAGGCTCGAACCCACCACCCTAAGATTAAGAGTCTCATGCTCTACTGACTGAGCAGCACATTCTACACAGTGAAATGCTTTCCCCAGGGAAACACACCTGGCACCAATTCTATGAGGTTTTAGGCGCCAGGCTAAGCCATTCCAGCAGACCTGGGTTGTTGTTGTTTTGTCTTTTACTTACCGTATTTTTTGCTCTATAAGACTCACTTTTTCCCTCCTAAAAAGTAAGGGGAAATGTGTGTGCATCTTATGGAGTGAATGCAGGCTGCGCAGCTATCACAGAAGCCAGAACAGCAAGAGGGATTGCTGCTTTCACTTCGCAGCGATCTCTCTTGCTGTTCTGGCTTCTGAGATTCAGAATATTTTTTTCTTATTTTCCTCCTCCAAAAACTAGGTGCGTCTTGTGGTCTGGTGCATCTTATAGAGCGAAAAATACGATATATCATACTGCTGTATTTATGGCCTGCTTGTGGTCATGTTCTTTTAGTAAGGTTGGGTAGGATTCATTTGTTGGATGAAGGCCTTTAGAAATCTTTCTGCATATTTAGTTTTAATGATTGACAACATGCCTGGTATTGTGTTTGTAAGCTGCTTAGATACATTTTTTACAGAAAGTGACAATTGTTTATTTGTTCCACAAAATGCTTACAAGAACAAAAGACTTCTAGGTGGTTTGCAATAGACGGCCTAAAATATCCATTCAAAACACCAATAAAAAACAAATTACATAAGCATCTTAGGATATAAAATTAAATCAATAATTTTAAAACAGTTATACTTACTTCGTGTGCTAAAATTACATGCCTGGGTAGGCTTGCTGGGACGAAAAAAGCTTTTTTAGCAGGTGCCAAAAACAATGCAGTGAAGGCGCCTGACTAATATGGATGGGCCAGGGGTTCCAAAGTGGACGTGCAGTCACACAATATGTAAGTAGGTAAATACATACATAAAAACTGGATGGATATGCATTGCAACAGCATAGTACAGTCAGCAGCCACTCTGATTCTGTGTGTTACATCTACCTTGGTATGCACAACAACTTGATAACAAAGAGGTGAAACTAGAAAAATCCATTCTGAAACTGCATGGGATTCCTCTATACACCTGTGCTTGGTAGAATTCTGCACAGACTTCCACTAAGAAAGACCCAGTAATGGGTCTGATCTCATCATTCATGCACTATGCACAACACTTTACAGTGCTGCGACACCTACTAAGAAAAAAACCACTGGATTTCAGCAATTATACATATGCACACAGACTAATATGCGTGTCTGATGCTTATGTGACCCTATACATTTTGGAGTATGTGAGAGCTTTAAAAAGCTTTAAAAATATGAAGCACAAAGAGAACACTGAGTCTATAATCTTAAATTCCTTACAGATGCCAAAGAGGTGTTGCTTTTATACTAAAGGAAACCTACACGCTGCTTAAATTAACACTTGCAGCTGATTGCCAAAGGCAGCGATCCCAATCCCATTTACCTTGGCATAAGCCCCATTGAATTCAGTGGGACTTGCTTCTGAGTAGACATAAGTTAGAATTACACTGTGTAAAGTATTAATTTCTAGATAGGTTCGTTTTCATTTTAAAGTATATTTTGGCACAATAATTTTCATAATAAATGATGAAATGTGTACTTTATTACAAACTAAAATCCCGCAAATGAAAAACTAAAATAGATTAAGATGCAAAATTATATTGAAAATAATACTGAGGGGTGAAATTCGAGTTTAGGAATGAGATTTACTTTATAACCAATCCTAAAAACTTGTAGTACCTCAGTTCTACTCGGACTCTCATATTCATTCATATACAAAATTATAAAACATACCACATAATTTATCACAAATACATTCTTATCGGACTTCCATCAGCACCTCTGGCAATCCTCCGTCTTAATCACTTCTTACGCATTTCCTAGCTTAATATTGCCTTTATATTAATAACATATCCAATCTCCTTTTTCATTTTTGCAATATTTCTAATATTAATTCTTCACAGAGCTTCTTGCAAACATATTCATTCTTTCTTTGGAAATCTACCTCTATAGAATATAGATTTCATAGATACCAAATTATTTCAGACATTTGGAAATCCAAAAGATTTCAGATATATCAAAAAGATAAAGGAGGGGAATGGAACAGCGTTATAGACACACATAAAACTAAAAGCTTTATTAAACAAATTAGATTACAGGTTAAAGAGATACTTCTATATAAGAAATAGGTTTCCAGAACAAACTTTTCCTAATTAATATGATCTTTCTTTACATACATGTTCTCTGTATTTTTTGTATTTTTTTTATTCATAAATAAACTATAAAAAACCCTGCATTTTTAAAAAGGAAACTGGAACATTAGGAGAGGATTAAGTCTCTTGCCACTATTCTTCCCAGTCCAACATCCATGCTACACATACAGAATTCCAAAATACCAATACACTTTCCCACACAGATAGTATCTCTTTGGTTAAAAATAAAATCCAGGAGGTGGGGAGGTATGAAATTAGCCCGTACCAATTACAATTAACATGCCAATATAATCCAAACCAATATTACAGTTTGGTTCATATTTATTAATTATCTACGGACCTTCAAATTCCAAAAATACTCCATACAATGGAGAGATAAATCAATCATAGAACCAGGGAGGGACTAAATATTTACTACTGTTATTTATTTTGCAACCTCTGCATTAAATTCTCCCTCTCTCACTGAGTCTCCAATGCACTACACATCATTCATGAAACAGAGGAAAGGTTGGTTTTGCTTCATTCATATTTTCCAGCTAAAAACCAGCGGTTTTTACTGCCTCGCTCATCTTTCATCTTTCGATGCTTCGTGCCAGCCATTACTTACTCAAACAGACACAGTTTTCTTTTTCCAGCAAAGTCAAATTAGACACAAAATAAGCAACATGGCCATCGAACTCCATACTTTTTGTCTATTTTTTGATGGCAGTTTAGTCGGACAAGTTCAACACTGGTAGTTTAAGAATAAAGTTAAGCATGCCTCTGGAGAGTATAAGTATTGGGCTTTTCATATCTAAGCTTATTATTCCTAATATTACACCGACACTTCCCCCACTTGTCCTTCTCTTTCCCAAATTCCCCATCTGACCAGATGTCTCTCTCTCCCTCGCTTCCACCTGTCAATCACATTCATGGCTGAAATTTGATTTCTCTCCCAACAGTAACCTTATATGAAATATTACCATAGGGGTCAGCACAATCTGAACCTCACCACATAAGTTCATTAACTCTTCCTCAGTCCAATATCTGTTTGTTTCAAAGTTACATGGTTTTTTTGTGCTAATCTCTTGCAACACCAATCGGTCAGCAATTGCTAAATCCAGGATTTAGGAGGAAGTGAAATGATTCGGTTCTCTTTTTCCTCCCCAGAAGGTTTGGTTTTTGTAAAGCCAGAGGTTAGGCCTGTGCACATTAACTCTACAGATTCTCCCTCCCTGAAGACAAAACACCAGAGAACTGAAAATAAGCTAAATAAAAAGACTTAATTGCAGCAGAGCAAGAGCTGTGAGACTGCACACTTTTCTTCTAGCATGAATCACCGTGCAGCCCCAGCTGCAATGTACAAACGCTTTACTGCAGATCAGGTGCATTCAAACAAATGCTCACTCTGCTAATGACAAAGCCCACAGTCCTAAACACAGTTCCATTGGACATAAAACTCAGCTACACATGCAGAGAGCACTTAGGGCAGGTGCAGGGAATCTTTGGCCCTCCAGAAGTTGCTGAATTACAACTCCCACCATCCTTGGCTGTGCTTGCTGGGGCTAATGGGAGTTGTACTTCAGCACCATCATGTTCCCCATATCTGGCCTAAGTAGTCAGGCTAGGCTTCACCACCCAGCATCCTGAGGCAACTATTGAGGGCCCACGCGGACCCACCAGCACCTACAGTGTCTTTGATAGAACACTGCTCCATAGGATTGTAGGAAATTAAAAACGGTGGCTTGTAGGCATAGTTCATTGGCATAGTGGGTGGGACAGAATACCTACTCTGCCCACCCTGCCATGCCAGTGAACTAAGCCTGCAAGCCATTGCTTTAATTCCCCAAGATCCTATGCAGCAGTGTTGTATCAAAGACCCTGTAGGAAACATAAATGGTGGCTCCTTCCCTGGAAATTAACAACAAAAGACACAACAAAGCTAGTATATCAGAAGAACACTTCTATCACTCACTTTTTTGCTAGTCTTCTACTTGCAGAGTGCTTTTCACACAGGGAGTAGTGCAGACCTTTCCAACAGCTCAAAACTCTACCATCTCCTTCTGCTGTGAAGACACACCTGTACTTCCTAGTAATCATGTACTAAATGGACATGAGAATCACCTGTGAGTAATCAGGCACAGAAACATTTTCTCAGCTGAGAGAGAGGTTCCCTCTCTCCAAAAGCCAAACATCACTTCAGGCCACCAATGTTCCATAAATACCGAATAATAATAATAATAATAATAATAATTTATATCCCGCCCTCCCCAGCCAAAGCCGGGCTCAGGGCGGCTAACAACAATAAAACAGCACAAAAGTACAGCACAAACAACACTCTAAAACCATTCATTATAAAATTAATTCAGATCAAGCCACTGGCAACCATTGGGCCAGAGCTCCGCGAAGATTGTCGAGGGAGGGAGTCAGGCTGTGCCCTGGCCAAAGGCCTGGTGGAACAGCTCTGTCTTGCAGGCCCTGTGGAAAGATGTCAAGTCCCGCAGGGCCCTAGTCTCGCCACCTAAGCAGGGTGGGGGTGGAAAGTCAATCCTGGCTTTCAGAGCGTAGTGATCAGACCATGGCACCTTCATCGAAGGAGACATGATCACATCTATACCTACGCCAAAGATCAAATCCAGCGTGTGGCCTGCTTGATGTGTGGGGCCCGAAACAAACTGGGAGAGCCCTAGTGTCGCCATGGAAGACACCAGGTCCAGAGCCTGTGAGGAGGGAGTGGCATCAGCATGGATGTTGAAGTCCCCCAATACCAATAGGTTAGGGAACTCCAAGGCCCAGCCGGCCACCGCCTCCAGCAGGCCTGACAGGG